GCAGTGTTTAATTTTTCCCTATTCATCTTTGCTTATTCACACTCATCTGTGAGCATATTTTCATGGTTGTGTCTATTTTCCTCTTCTGTGTGTAGGATATTTTTGAATATCTTGGCAGTGCTGGTTTAGTAATCATGAATCACCTTTGTTTTGGTTTTTGTTTGTTTGTTTTTAATCATGGTAGATTTTTATTTCTTCATTTAGGAATATAGCTTCTCTTGATACAATAATCTAGGTTGTCAGTTATTTTCTCTCTGAGCTTGAAATACATTGTTCCTTGCCCTCCTTGCTTTTAATGTTTCTGTTGGGAAACTTGCATTTATTTTGATGTGCTTGCCTTTATAGGTGATTTTGCAGTTTTGCCTTGCAGATTTCAATATTCATTTCTTGTTCTGTATATTTAATATTTTAACTATAGTATAAGGTGGGGAGATTCTGTTCTGGTCTTGTTTGTTTTAAGTCCTACAGGCCTCCTATAGTTAGATGGGCATTTCTTTCACCAGATTGTGGAAATTTTCTATTACTTCATTATGTTTCCTATGCCTTTAGCTATGAACTCATTTCCTTCTATGCCCAAGATTCATGGGTTTGGTCTTATAATAGTGTCCCAGGGTCTTGCATATTTTGTTTACCTTTCTTTATTCTTTTATCTTCATCTTCATCTGATTTTTCTGTTGACTGTACCTTGCCTTCAAGTCTTAACATTCTATTTGAGTCAGTCTACTAGAGGGGCTTTGAATTCACTTTTTTATTTAACTTATAGAGCTTTTTCATGTCCAGAATTTCCATTTGATTCTTTTCTAGATTTCAATATCTTTATTGAATTCCCCTTTCATGTCTTGCATTGTCTTCCTTATTTCATCCACTTCTTTATTTGTATCCTCTATGAATTCATTGAGGTGCGTATGTATGTCCTCTTTACTTGATCATTCTTTTGAGTTCAGTATTTGAGATTTTTTTGTGCTTATTGGCTTAGATATCATGTTTCCTTATTTTTTCATGATCTTGTGTTTAGGCATTGAGGTTTGCTCATCTGAAGTCAAGTTGTTAGTTAGGGGTTTTAATCACCTAAAGTCTTGCAGGTAAACTGTTTCCTATGTTCTGGCAAGACTGGGCGGTGGCAAGGTTCATGTGCCATTTCTCACCATTGGCACGGGTTATAACTTAGCATTAACAAGTTCACCAATTCACAACCAAGCCAAATATTTACTTGAAGTAAAAAATAATTGGCAACATCATCTACACCCCAATCATATTATATATGAAAAGGACTAGCTTTCATATAGTACACCAGTGGGTTAAAAAGTTATTTATGAAGGATTTTTAAATTAGGTAGTAAAACTAAGGTGGCTGAGGGAAAGAAGAATGAGATGGGGAGAAGGAAGTGAATGATGTGCAGAAATACAGTTTAATTATTGTGGACCAAAAGCAGTAATAAAGATCAGGGCAGAAATTAATGAAATTTAGACTGAAAGAACAATAAAATCAATAAATGAAACAAGAAGTTGGTTTTTTTTTAAAGATAAGCAAGATTGATAAACTTTTAGACAGACTAACCATAGTAAAGAGGGTGAGGAACTCAATAAAAAGAATTAGGCATGAGAAAGGGTATATTGCCAAAATGTCAATTAAATCCAGAGTATCATTAAGGAATACTTCAAAACCCTATATTCTAATAGACTGGAAAATCTAGAAGAAATAGATAAATTTTTAGATGCATTTGACCTACTAAAATTGAGCCAAGAGATTCAATAACACATTAAAAAGATTATTCACCATAATTGGTTTGGTTTCATTCAGAGATGCAAAGATTGTTCAACATACACAAATCAACTAATATAATACAGCACATAACAGAATCAAGGAAAAACTAGCAGGATCATCTCAATAGATGAAGAAAAATAATTTGACAAAATTGAACATCTCTTCATGATTAAACCTTTAACAAACTAGAACTAGAAAAAATATGCTGCAGGGAGAAATGACCCAAACATTGTATGCACATATGAATGAAATAAAAAATATGCTGCAACATAATAAAGGCTATATATGATAAACCCCTAGCCAAAGTCATCCTAAATGAGGAAAAAAGAAACCATTTCCTCTATAATCAGGAATAAGACATGGTTGTCCACTTTCCCCACTTTTATTTAATATAGTGCTTCAGTTCTTAGCACAGTACAGAAAGAGAAAGAAATAAAAAGGACATAAACAGGAAAGGAAGAAGTCAAATTATTCCTATTTGCAGGTGATCTAATCTTCTACTTCAGACACTCTAAAGACTCCACCAAAAAGTCTTAGATCTTATAAACACTCAGGAAAGTAGTAGGATACAAAATCAGCACACACACACACACACACACACACACACACACACGGTAACTTTTCCATATACCAATAATAAACAGGCTAGGAATGAAATCAAGAAAACAATTTCATTCACAGTAGGCTTCAAAAACTTAAATACCTAGACATAAACCTAACTAAGTGAAAGATCTTTATAGTGAAGACTATAAAATGTTGAAGTAGAAACTGAAGAAGATAGAACTAGAAGATGGAAAGACCTCCCATGTTCATGAAATGACAGAATTAATACTGTGAATATGTCTGTCCTACTGAAAGCAATCTATAGATTCCATTGCGATGCCATCAAAATTCCACTGTTATTTTTCACAGAAATAGAAAAAAGTCAATTCTAAAATTCATTTGGAACCCCAGACAGTTCTGAACAGCAAGAGCAATCCTGAAAAAAAAGAGCAATGCTGGAGGTATCACAATACCTGACTTCAAATTATATTATAGACCCATAGTAACAAAACAGCGTGTTACTAGCACAAAAACAGACAAGTATATCAATGAAATATTCTACTTAGTAGGATAGAATATTCAGAAATAATCCCACACAGCTACTGCTGTCTGATATTTGATGAAGGCACCAAAAACCTACTTTGGAGAAAAGACAGTCTTTTCAACAAATGATTCTGAAAAATCTGTATATGCACACATGAAAGGCTGAAACTAGATCCCTATTTTTCATCCTATACAAAAAATAATTCAAAATGGATCAAAGGTCTTCATTTAAGACCTGAAACTTTGAAACTGCTAGAAGAAAACATAGGGAAAACCCTGAAAAATATAGACAGAGGTAATGTTTTTATCTAACTCCAGTCAAAATGGTTGTAATCCAGAAAATATACAAATGTTGATGCAGTTACAGGGGAAAAAGGAACTTTCATATACTGTTGGTGGGAATGTGAATTAATGCATCCATTATGGAAATAATTTTGGGAATTCCTCAGGAAACTAAATGTAGAGCTACCTGCTATAGATCTTGATGTTATGCTTCTGGGCTTATATCCAAAGGAGAAAGCCAATGTACCATAGAGATGCCTGTGCACATGTTTATCATAGCACTATTCACAAGAGCCAAGATAAGGAAACAGCCTATGTACCCATCATCCAATGAATAAAGAAAATGTGTGTATGCATATATATGTATACATGTGTATGTATGTGTGTGCATACAACCATAAAGAAGAAAGAAATTATATCATTTGCTGGAAGATGGATGGAACTGATGATTCATTACGTTAAATGAAATAAGCCAGAATGAGAAGATAAATTGTACATTTTCTCTTACGACCTTTAAAAAAATGACATGATTATAAATTGGGAACTGTTTGAGAGTCAAGCAGTGGGAGGGTGGTGAATGGAGAAAGTTATGGGGAGATGAATATGATTGAAGTACTTCTATGCATGTATTAAAGTAGAATAATGAACCTCTTTAAAGATTTTTTTTTTAATAGGGTAGAGGGAAGATAAAAAAGTAATGTTGGGATTGAATTTGATTGAAGTACATTGTATGCATGTATGGAAATAACACAGTGAAAACCCTTTGTACAATTAATATATCCTAATTTTAAAATCAGACTGATATAGCAGCAATCTAGAAAGGTACAGATCTTGCTAAACTGCCTTCTACCACACAGTGGGTTGAAT